GGGACGATTCCGACAAGTGGATCTCCAAGAAAACAACGCGCAAATGCATCGGCGGTGGTCGGTGTGAAGGCAACCATCCTTATGCGGATGGATTTGTTGCGTTCGAAGTTCAATGCCTTTCCAACAGACGGTAAGATAAGCCCGCTACACAAATCTGGGGGCGGGTGTAACGAGAGTAGGAATCCAACGGCGCGATCCAAAGATTTTCAGGCTCCCAAGGGCAATTCCTCAATGCGAGATTGTCCGGCATGTCCCTCCCACCATATCCCATTTCACTTCCCCAAAAAACGAATGATGCATCCAACTGACCATCCCTTCACTGATCCAAGTAATTTCAGCCCAGCAGATAAACTGACACGTGTTCCTTTTGGACACTTTAAAACGTATAGTAAATCATCTTTATTAAGCTCTGGACGTCAAATACCCTTTCGCCCAATTCGAACAGTCAAACGGCTCAAACGGGTTAATCAGGCATCTGACAACTATTGACCGCGAGACTCACGTCCTTCATGATGGACAACCGACGGTGTAACTTAGGGTTAAGTTCCAATATCCACCACCCCACAATGTAACGCCTCGCGAGGACAATAAGCTATGACGCGACGAGAGCAATGAGGGGCGGGTTATTGGAGAACTGTGGGGAGGCTGGACTGTATATATAATGCCTATATAAGGCAAGAGAGTGGTGAACAAGGAGTGTCCATAAGGGCAGACGAGATGAGCGATATCAAGAAAGACGCGAATCGAGGCGAAAACAAAAGCATTCGAAGTGAAGAAGTACGGCGATTAGAAATATGCAACACTCATGGCAATGATACCCTTGCTGCAAAAAGATCAAGACGAACGAAGTCACAGCAATGGAAATGTTGCTGGATGTCAAAATTCAGGAGTGCTTATATACACGACGATCACGTGAAAACGCGTCTTTCCAAGGTTCAAAGGCTGACCCAAGACTTCCTATTGCGGACTAGCGTACCGCGCATACTGTTGTGACATAGTTCGTATCCAGAACCCAATCCTTATGTTGCAAGAAGAAGGGAAAAGGCCAGTGAATGTTGCAGAAATATGGAATTTGCTCATCAAGCCGCGGTCTACATGGAACAGGGCTCAAAAATTGCTATAAGATGTGAGTTGGGTTCAAAGCTCATTGTGGTTCGAAATTTCTTGGCAAATCCGCCAGATCGCGAATTCACGTGATAATGGTGTCGTGGAGCTACGTCATTTTCCCATCTTCTCCGATTTTCGACGCTGGAATTGATAGCTGAACGACTGAAATAGCCATAACGATATTACTGCACAAATCATGGCAATGGAATGTCGTCAGCTCGTAAAGGCATTCGATGATGCTCATGAGTTTCTGAGCCCGGTTCTAAAAAGAGGCACGCGACCTTAACCTTCTACTCCTCCGAAACATCGCTAACTCTCTTGAAGAGGAGATACAGAAATCTCGCGGTCAATCTATTGTCCAAATTCTAGCTCGAAAGCTCTCAGTTCAAGGCCAAGGACATGGCGATGCCACGTTACATGTAATCCAACGGGCACTAGATCTCCTTGTCACAATTCATCGCGCCTATGTTGACTCAAACCTGGATGTTGGGATCGATAAATCTAATGGAAATGGCTGCAGAGAAGACCCTGTTCTTGAAGATACCAGGCGGCGACGGGCAATCCATGGCCTACTTGACCTGATTTCCCTTGAGGGCATATACCCTGCACTATCCCAGGGAGTTGGAATACCCCTTCAGCAACGGGTGATGTCTACCCTGCCCACTGGCGTTGTTGCAAGACAGTCAGAAGCGACTTCCAGAGATAGGTCGCATGATGAACGCCTATTGCGGTTGATAATAGACACTTTAACGCCGATTGTTTGTCACAAACACTCTGGTATTCAACCAATAGTTATGAGTAGAATTCTCGGGGACATATTGTGTGCCACTGCAGAGCTCGCATTTCATCCACATTCTCTTCCACAGGAACAAACCAGCGCTTATGCGGAACTATTTCAAAAGTTGATTGAAGAGTAAGACGCGCATTGTTGATGATTTTTGAGTGTATGCACCTGCTAAATACACCCAGATCTCCCACACCCACGTTGCTATCAATTCTCTCATCGTTTATCCAAACAAGTTCTGCTCCGTGGTTCAAAAACATAATATCTTCGGAACTATCACACGTTCCTTTACGGAAAGACGGCGTGTTTCATACAATTATTTTTATAGCCTCTCAATTTGAGCCTGCTTTGGGCCAAAGTGCAGAAACTGCGCCTGCTCAAGGTCCTCCAATCACAGTGCAAGCTATCATGCAAATTTCTCGGCTACTTTCCTCAGTTCCTCAAGAGATTTCAGCAGACGACTATTTCTACAATATTTCTCCAAAACTACTAGCGCTTTTGGATGGAGATGAACCCGATTTACAGAAAACTGCATCCTACGTGATTGGTAGTGGAATACTCGGAAAACGGGCTCTTGGAGAGCCTGGTGCGATTGGTTACAAAATATTCGTGAAACCTATCCTCGACTCACTTCATGGAAATATGACAACTGAGGTTGCTGCGTGGCTGAGAAGGTTTTCGTTAGATGGGTCCGCTCTACCAGCAAGCCCACTAAGTGATTTGGAGAGCGTAGTTCTCATAGATGAACCAAAGCTGCTTCTATCTCTTACAAGACTGAGCGCATTAGTTTTATCACATCCAAACCCAAGCCTTTTAAAACGATTAATTCAACCCGTCTTCCTGCCACTGTGGGCGTTAGGGTGTTATGCCAAAGAGCATCGAAAATCATCCTGGTATGGCAAAGTTTCCACGCTCCTGCAGACCTTTTTCTCCATGTCTACTGGCGTATCAAAATACGACAACTTGTCCGATAATATACTGTGGGATGGAGGAAGAACCTGGACATTTGGCCCTGGGCAAAACGGGGGCGTTTCAATTAGAAAACGCACAAATTCCCCTGCCCAGCAAGTACTCAATACAATGCTTCTCATGAAAATTTTGGATGACCGCATCGATGGCGTCTTAGAACTGCTAGGCCTGGACCCTCAATCCGAGGAGCTTGCTGGTGATATTTTTCTCCATGTTAGCCGGAAGTGGCTACTTGGGCATTCTGGAGATCATACCCAGAAAGAACCAGAATTTCTGCACGGTGGTGAAGATTTGCAAACTACTTTGCAGAAGTTGACCAGTGCCAAATTCACGGAGAAGCTCCTGAATAAGTTCAAAGATAGTTTGGCACGGCGCCCTGACAGAATACTGGGAATCGTTGAGCAGTTGATACAAAGCGAGGTCTCATTGAGAACAAAACCAGCCCACGGGAAACTGAATAATCCCTCATTTCAGTCTTTAGGTAATATCGTTGAGAATTCCCAAGGGATTTCTGACAATGATAACCCCGAACAGTCCGAGTCGTTATCAGCTTCGTTCAGTCTTCTTTCGACCATTCTCGCTTCCCCCGATTTTTTCCTGTCAGAAACATTATCTCCAGTAATTCAAAGAATAAAAGTCCAACTGGACAATCTACTCCCTAACTTACCCTCCCATCTTATACAACCTGCAACCACCGCGTCGATGCTACTTGAAATGACCCTCTCATCTTCATTATTCCCAGAGCGGAAGCCCGAGGCAATTTCCTCGCGGATCTCCGACCTGGAAAAACATCGCCAAGCTCTTGAACATCTCTCGTCCCCCTTTCCTCCGATACAGGCAGAAGGGCTTACCCTTCTCTCGTGCCTGATCACCGAATCGTCTCCAGTCCTTGATATACCTGCAACGCTCTCTCTTCTCCTTTCTTTGTTAAGCAACTCGAATATCGAATCTTCCTCAAATGACGAATTTGTTTACCTGCATGTCATTAAGATTATTGGAGTTCTCGCGTCCAAACACCCCCGGACAGTTATTGGGAGCCTGGCAGAGCGTTATGCGGATAGAAGCGAACAACATAGCCTAGACCAACGATTGAAAATCGGGGAGGCGTTGTTGAGGGCTGTCCAGGAGCTAGGAAATGCCTTAGTCGAGGACACGGCAAGAACACTAGGCGGAACCATGGTTTCAGTAGCCGGAAGACGTGGCAGGAAACCCTCCGCGAAGCGGGCCAGAGGGGAAATGGCGAAGAAATTAACGACGCAACCAACCGAGACGGAGGATGATACACTAGATCGTGAAGCTGCCGACTTAATGCAACAAATTGACGAAGCAATGGATTCAGAGGTAGAAAATCCCGCTCTTGAAGCTTATTCCGCCAATATAATCGATGCATGGGCTGCTGGAGCGGCATCTGACTTAGAACCTGACGATCTACGTATCCGGGCATCGGCCATGTCAATTTTAGCATCAGCCATCCAGACAAACGTCGCAGGCCTTGGACCGTCCGTTGTATCCTCATCTGTTGACCTAGCACTATCAACTTTGAACTTCGAGCAGGGCCCGGAGAGTGTCATCCTGCGACGAGCTGCCATAATCCTGCTTCTCGACCTCGTCAAAGCGCTCGATACGGCAAGGGAAAATGGGATTAACCTCGGCTTCGGCTTCTCGTATTCTACTACTACCAATAATGATAATCAGTCCACTGACTTTATCAACCCTCAACCACGTTACCCGAACCAGGGAATCATTGGGAATATACCGGATATACTCCGCGTCTTAACATTCGTGGAAACCAGCGAAACCGACCCCGTCATCCGTGGACATATACGAGTTCTCATCGAGAGCTTCGAGGCATGGCTGGAAAAATCGTTATTGTGGGGAGTAAGGACTCGTGAGGGCATAGGCGAGCAACCTAGATTCGAGTTAGGGGATCGTTTGGCTGGGTTGGATATTCATCCGCGTGTTGATGGTGGTGGTGGTAGCCGCCATCAATTGTCTGGGCAAGGGCCACGGATCGAGGAAATTGAATAGGTGTCTCGTTCTTAACAGGAGCGTGAAGACCGTCTTCATTTCGGTATTTGCGATCACCACATGTATGTAGTTGCATTCTCGTTACCATACGTGAAATATGATCATCTCTGGAATGTAGAATGTAGTACTATATAATATGCATGTAGTTCTGATTCAAGTTCCGACGGCTCCTTGTAGTTACCAAGAGTATCCAGAGCAGAATCCAGAGCAGAGTAAGAAACTACTGATGTTTTCAGTGGTTGACTAGGATTGCACTTCCTCTCAAGGGATCATGCGAATGAAGTTGGTGGATCCAGACTCGAGATGAAATGCATGATAATTCCCATCGATCAATTTGTTTTTAGTAAAATCAAGTGCCTAGTCATACACGAAGAGTACAAAACGCCTACCTTCCCGACTTCCCTATAGTCCATTCCCAGAAAAGTGCAAAATGAATCAATGTAAGAAAAAAAGCGCTTGAAATCCTGCAACCGCGGATATATTATCGTATCATTCATTATATCGGGGCGCCATAATATTCCCCACGGCCACCACGGCCACCACGGCCTGCCCTGCTTCTGCCTCCACCTCCCCGGCCACCACGACCACCTTGCCACCGGCCACCATCCCTCCCGAATCCTCTCCCCCTCCCCCTCCCGAAGGAATTAAAAGAACTATCCTGATGCCCCCGAAACCGCTGTCCATGCCGCTGCTGAAGAGGCTCCGGACGCGGCCCCGCATCAGCCCGCGCAAATCGCTCCTCATCACTAGCATGAAACTTATTCTCAATCCCAATGAGGTCACAAAACTGCGCCGTTTGCGGGTTCGTATACTCTGGCGGCATCTCAGTTGTCGTGATGGGCACGGCAGGGTCGTAGACGGGTGCGGTGATGGTGAAGTTGTGCGGGATGGTCATTCTGCCTGGTTTGACGACGTTTTCTTCTACCCATTGTTCCGCGGCGAGGATGCTGGGTTTGTAACGTGCGTCTCCCTTGTTCGTGGGTACGGAGGCGTTGGGATCGCCGAGTGTGAGTTCGTTAGCGAAGGCTCGAGTGATGGCGAGCCATTCCTTGTCATATTTCAATTGGTATGGGCGGCTCTCCTCTCCGGTTTCTCCCTCCTCAGGAGACGAGATGGCCGGGTATTCCACCAATTCAATAAATTGTCTATGTCTGTCGCATTTATCAAGGGCCAGGAAGCTGGTTTCTGTATTGCTGATGGCTTCTGGTAAGGTAGACTCGAAAACTGGGGCATCATCTAGAATTGTTTCGGGTTTCCTGAAACTTGCTGGTAGTTGATCTCGAATTTCCTTAGGGATATCCCCTGATTGTGAAGCTTCAGCTGCATCCACTGCAGCTGTAGCGGTTTCTTCCGCTTTCCCTGATGAAATACTATGTTCAATTTCCATTTTATCCGTATTTCTAGGCTTAGTGCTTGCGGTATCCTCTTGCTCAAGTTTCTCCGAAGTGTCGGATGAGCTATCAAGACTAATATCAATCTCGTCGGGATTTTTAACCTCGGTTCCTCCGCCTCTTGTCTCTTGTTCGGTAATTTTCCGAAGTTCTTGCTGGGCATTATATCCGATTTTTGCAACATCCTCAATTTCACGTCCTAGGTTATCGTCCTTAACCGTAACCTTTTTCCACGTTAGCTGGTAATTTACCTCTGGTCTACTTATCAAGCCAGCCTCAATCTGTTTCTCATACTCGGCCGCTTCCTTCATGAGTCGCGCACTCTCTTCAGCATCGTTTTTGGTTGCAACTGAGTGGAAGTTCTGCCAGGCAGATAACTGTGCACGATCACGTTCTGCACCTTGAGCAGGCTGTGGCTGTGGCTGTGGGGCGTTTTCGGCGCTCTCTGCTGCGCGCGTTGTGGCTTCACCATCGCCACCAAGCGTTGACATTATGATCTCCTCACTCATTGCAGTATCTACGATTGTAGCCGATACTTCCTTGGATGATATATGTGCTGCATCAAGCACCATTTCGACACTCTGAGTAGCTGTTATACCTTCATTAGTAGAACTAGGCGCGTTAGGTTGCTCATTGGTAATAAGAGACGGTGAATTGAGAACATCATCTCCTAACGATGGCTGCTGGGGTTGTTGGTGAGGCTGTGGATTTGGATTGAATCTATTTTTCAACCCCGCTGGCTTATAATCACCATGTGTTAAACTTGCTGCATATTTGCAATGGAGATGTGCAGAAAACCAGAAGGCGGGTCGAAGGCGATCCATAATATATCTCGCAGCAACACTGCCTAACCTTCCTGAATTCGCGTCCGGTTCAAACAATGGCTTCTTCTGGAACAGTTTTTGAAAGTCGCCATGCCATTCAATACCCTGAGGCCAGTCGTGGCTTAAGCCCAGATCAACCTGGGTTCGAATTTGTAGCAGTTTGCGAACATCGAGTTCCCTGACATGGTAAATGCTCTGTATATCGGCACGGTTATACGGGAGCCTTTCAAAATGGGACTTGCGATAGTCATATCCTTTCCAGATTCCAGAGATACCTGCGATTCTAAGAGGCCCACAGCGGATGACGTTGGCAGCGCCAAGATAGTAGATGTTGGGGGCTACCCACCCTCCATAGTAGAGCTCAAAGAGATGATTGCTGGCTTCATGGTTTCCGCCAACAAAGATAGTCAAATATGGAGCGACACGGGCACCGCTGTAGTACTCATGAAAATCCCCAATTTGTTTGTACTTCTGCGGAACTGACATGCAGCTCAAGTCATGCGAGTTGCGCACTGCCTAGCAGAGAGGGATGGGTGAGAACAAGGGAAACAAATGTATATACGAGCAGCCGAAGAAGGGGGGAAATAGCACACCTGAAAATCGCCACCAATGATGAGGAGATCGACGCCATCCCAGCCCTTGACTTCTGCCGCTCTAGTGACTGACGAGTATATGTCATTCAATTTACCGTGTCCCTGTGTGATGTTAGCCGTGTGTTTCGGTACCCCACCAAAATATCAATATTACTATAGCCAAGTCGGAAGCGAACACATACGCAGCCTTCAAGAGCCACCCTTAGATTTCGGGAAGGAGAAGCAGGAATATGCTGCATGTTGAACAGTTTTGGATGTTGGTTGCTGTGCTTCAGCGCGAAGCATGAACTTTTCAAACGTACAAAAATAGAATGAACAACGCGTCTGTCTTTGAAAAAATGAAAATGAAAAGAGCAGACCGAAGATGGGAGGGCAGCGCTCATAGCCCAGAGCCCATTTTACTATTTTGTTGGATCAAATTGTTGTTGCTGTTGTCAAATTATTCACGTCCTCAGCGTTGACCAGGAAAAGCTGATTACTAAGCCGTATTGACAGGTAATCTTTAGATCTCTATGATGTCTTCATTGCGACCACTTACGATGTTGGTATTGGTTTTGACTTTGCTCCTATTTATTTAAACATCGTTTTATTCCTTAGTTACCTACTCTTACTGGTGTATTCGCAAGTACAGTGCATCACTTAGTTTGACCTATCCATGAATGTTCGTTGGTGCTGCAGAAAGAACGCTAAATCCATTGATATTGATGACTCGAGTCCAATAAACGGTTTATACCTTTCTTTTCGAAAATTCCTCGAGTCCCTAGGCCAATCAATACACAAAGGTGTAGACTGACAACTGCTCACCGTGGCGATAAGCTACGGCCGTAATTCAGCAAACCCAGCCAGCCCATTGATCCAATTCTGCTTTCACTATAATAAACGGGAGTGTAATGATTCGTTGGCTCATTTGCCTGTTTTTGCTATCTGTATTCTCACTGGACCAATGTGAGAATGGAAATCGGGCGTAGGTTTGCCGAAACACTTTTCCATCACCGGAACATTTCACAAGGGTATGTTCGATAGCTACGTACAGGGATTAGCAACTCGCACGGCAATCGGGCATACAATGTAAATATGTCTATCTATATTTGTGTCCATGTCACCTGAAACTGTCCTCTGCTTTGAACAGCAGAGGATATTCTTCTGTTGACTGTAGATGGGGAATAAGCTATATGCTTCCCCCAGTCATATTTTAACACCCATCGAGGTGAGTACAAGAGGTAATGATCCGACGGCGATTGATACAAGGGAAATGGCACTTCCATCTCACAGGTTGCATAGTGACAGGAGCGGGTAGCCACAGGAACAGGCGAGTTCGAGAGTTTTTTTAACTCCTCGCTTGCATGAACCTCTTTTAGGGTTTTGTTCGAGTATGTTGAACAATTTACCTCCCCGCACGACGGTATATGACAGGGGATAGGCGGGGGTAGTATTATCCTGTGAAAGCTGTTCTGTAGCACCTGCAACGGTCGGAGGGGTGAAGCCGGTAATGGATTGGTCGCCGTAATTGTTTGCCCAAGTCGAAAGGGTTCGAGTCCCGGGGTACGAAGATCATTGTATAGCATATACGTATGTCGGCAGAGACCAGGGTGTTCGGTGTTCCCTATCACTGTGCTATGCGTCGCTCCGAACTGGTCGATGAGTGTAATAATATATAGGCTGCTCTTGGACATTGCCCCGGTACTAAAGGTGAAATCGTTCGGCTTCATGCGTGCTCGCTGAGTCATCACGGGCTTGCCGAATACACGCCGCTTTCTATTTTAGGAATAGCGACAGTGGCAAAAACATCCCCGTCCCTGACACTTATCCGTATCAGGTTTGGTTCCGTAAAATTCTACGGGCGCCGGTATGTGTTGTGTATGACCCCATTACATCACGTCCTGGTATCTTGTTGCCTCCACTGACGCTCGCTTCTCCCCGTCTGACTCTTTTCGAGTGTGTTGCCGTTTGGCGTTGTTATTGAGTCGGGCTGTGTTTGTGTGATCGTGCCGGATCCTTTGTCCCGTCTCCTCTCGGTTAGCTGGTTTGTCGCATGTCTCCGTCACATCAGGCTCGCTTGACCATCACCACTGCGGTCCTCACCACTTCTCAAGCTTGTCCTCAGCTACCTCGTCGGCTCCCATTCCCAATCCCATATCCCCAGCCAGTATCTCTGCGCACACTCCCCTGCGTTGCCTCTTCTCCTTTCGTTGTCAATAATTTCGTCTCTTCCAGTTTTGCCGCCATAGGACGCCACCTATCCACAAGCACTACCCTTCCAGCACAGCAGCCTCACCACCACCATCATCATCATCATCATCAGCAGCAGCAGCAGATTCACCCTCTATTTCCAAAGCCTCAGCACACTATGGCAATCGTTGAACGCCTTACTGAGGGCCTCGAGAAGCCCTCCGTCGACGATCGCTCATACCGTGTGATCCGTCTTCCAAACAAGTTAGAGGCTCTACTAGTCCATGATCCAGATACGGACAAGGCGAGCGCGTCGGTTAACGTCAACGTTGGCAATTTCTCAGACGATGATGACCTCCCGGGAATTGCCCATGCTGTTGAACATGCTCTCTTTATGGGGACTAAGAAGGTGAAGCCGTCTAACCTCTGGCTGCGGAGATGTTAAAAATAGGGAAAAAATGACACTTGCTAATGAATCTCGTCGTCTAGTACCCCAAAGAAAATGCCTACAACCAGTACCTAGCAGCACATTCTGGACATTCAAATGCATACACTGGAGCAACGGAGACAAATTATTTCTTCGAAGTAGCTGCCACAGCAACCTCAGTTTCCAAAAGCACTCAGTCGAGCACTCCCGCCACCCCAATACCCGCAGAGGTGGAGCCATTGACGGATGGCCTTTCAAGACCAACCATATCGCTCACTGCTACTGCTGCCGACAGTGCAGTGTCTTCTTCCAGCGATTTGGTCCCCCCTCTTTATGGTGCTCTTGATCGATTTGCCCAGTTCTTCATTGCTCCACTTTTCCTCGAGGCTACCCTCGACCGCGAGCTCAGGGCTGTAGACTCGGAAAATAAGAAGAACCTCCAGAATGACGACTGGAGACTCATGCAGCTCAACAAGTCGCTTTCAAACCCCAAACATCCCTACCACCATTTTTCGACCGGAAATTTGCAAACATTGAGGGACGGACCCCAGTCACGTGGTGTTAATGTACGTGATGAATTCATTCGGTTCTACGAAACAAACTACTCGGCAAACCGTATGAAACTTGTTGTCCTGGGTCGCGAATCTCTGGATGAGCTAGAGGGTTGGGTTGCAGAACTGTTCGCCGATGTCAAGAATAAAAACCTGCCGCAAAATAGATGGGATGATGTGCAGCCATATACGCCGGCGGATTTACAGAAGATTTGTTTCGCTAAGCCAGTCATGGATACTCGATCCTTAGATATTTTCTTCACTTACCAGGACGAAGAGAATCTATATGACTCTAAGCCAGCTCGGTATATCAGCCATCTGATCGGCCACGAAGGCCCCGGAAGCATCCTTGCCCATATCAAAGCGAAGGGCTGGGCATACGGTCTTTCTGCTGGTCCCATACCCATCTGTCCAGGCTCCGCGTTCTTTACGATATCCATCCGCCTTACCGAAGACGGTATCAACAACTACCAGGAAGTCATTAAGACCGTCTTCCAATACATTTCGATACTCAAATCACGAGTGCCAGAAGAATGGATTTTCCAAGAGATGAAAACTCTCGCAGAAGTCGATTTCAAATTCAGGCAGAAGTCCCCAGCAAGTGGTTTCACAAGCAGCCTCAGTAGTGTGATGCAGAAACCATTCCCTCGTGAATGGCTCCTTAGCGGGCCCTATTTGCTGCGGAAATTCGATGGACAGGCCATCCAACGCGCTCTAGATTGCTTCCGGATCGATAGTTTCAATATCGAACTTGTTTCGCAGACGTATCCCGGGAACTGGGACTCGAAGGAGAAATGGTACGGGACCGAATACAGAGTCGAGAAGCTCCCAACAGACCTGCTCTCTGAAATCGGACGCATTCTGGAGGCCCCTTCATACAATCCGATGCCAGAGCTTCATTTGCCACACAAGAATGAATTCCTCCCGACTCGCTTTGATGTTGAAAAGAAAGAGGTTGCGCAGCCGGCAAAAAGGCCAACTCTCATCCGGAACGACGACCGTGTCAGGGCATGGTTCAAAAAGGATGACACCTTCTATGTCCCTAAAGCAAGTGTTGAAATTATCCTTCGGAACCCGCTGGCATATGCCACCCCTGGAAACAATGTTCTTACAAAACTAGCGTGTGGGCTAATCCGAGATGATCTTCAAGAGTACTCCTATGATGCTGAGCTAGGTGGGCTTGATTACAGTTTATCCCCGAGCGTTTTCGGTCTCGAGGTGTCGGTGTCTGGGTACAATGATAAGATGGCAGTCCTTTTGGAAAAAGTTCTGCATAGCATGAGGGACTTCAAAGTCAAGCCTGACCGGTTTAAGATCGTTAAACAGCGAATGGCCGATGGATTCTCGAATTCTGAGTATCAACAACCCTACCACCAGGTTGGAAATGTGACAAGGTACCTCACGGCGGAGAAGACGTGGATTACCGAGCAACTGGCAGCTGAGTTAGAGCACATCGAACCCGAAGATGTAGCCGCTTTCTTCCCGCAACTCCTCCGTCAAACTCACATCGAGCTTCTGGGTCATGGTAATCTTTATAGGGAAGACGTGCTGAAAATGGGAAACATGGTCGAATCCGCATTCCATGCCCGCCCATTGCCGCGGTCCCAATGGAACGTGCGACGGAACATAATCATACCACCAGGAAGTAATTACATCTACGAAAAGACTCTCAAGGACCCTGCAAACATTAACCACTGTATCGAATATTATCTTTTCGTAGGCGACATTACGGACCCGCAATTACGTGCCAAGTTGCTCTTGTTCGGTCAGCTCACCAACGAGCCAGCGTTCGACCAGCTCAGAACGCAGGAGCAGCTAGGCTATGTCGTATGGAGCGGCATCCGGTACGGTGCCACCACATTGGGGTATCGGGTCATCATCCAAAGCGAAAAACCCAACCAGTACCTAGAGTCTCGCATCGACGCTTTCCTAATCCGCTTTGCTCAGGCACTTGACAGCATGACCGACGAGGAATTCGAAGACCACAAACGCAGTCTAATCAACAAGCGCCTCGAGAAGCTGAAGAACCTGAATTCCGAAATGAGTCGGTTCTGGTCGCATATCACGTCTGAGTACTTTGACTTTACCCAGCATGAGACCGACGCGGAGAAGGTGGCGGGATTGACAAAGGGTGATATTGTCGAGTTTTACCAGCAGTATATCGACCCGCAATCACGAACGCGCGCGAAGTTATCCGTCCATTTGAACGCACAATCCAGCGCACCCGATGACGAGCGCAAGAAAAAGGTAGTCGAGAAACTGTCAGACCTTGTATCATCGTCGTCAACGGAGTTCGATAGCGGGAAATTCAAAGCGTCATTCGCCAACGTGAACTTCATGACGACCGACGTCATGACGAATAAAAACGCCATCGTATCAACTCTCAAGGGATTTCTGGAGACTGAACTAAAGCTGGATAGCGAGAAAGTGACCAGCATCGTCGAGCCGGCTACACACGTGATTAATGAGATACTACAAGGGCTCGGGATTAAGGCTATACCTTCGCCACCCTCCACAACTGGTGGTGCCGCAGTCCCTGCTACCGAGAAAGTCAACGTAACGGTTAACGGGGCAATCAATGGGACGACCAATGGCGCCGCAAATGGCCATGCTGTCATACCAACGCCGTCGTCAAAGCCCGGGCAGCCGACGTACATTACCAACGTGTCGGAATATAAGGCGCGTCTTGCCGTCAGTGCTGGGCCGTCTCCAATCGTGGACCTGAGTGAGTTTGAGGAGATTGATCCGAAGCTGTGAAGGAGCTTTAGTCTGATTTTTTTATCCCTTAATTTTTACCTTATTATTTTCTCCATTTACTGGCCGATGGGGGTTGTCATTGGGGAAAGGGAATTGCACAATCAGGCGGTGGGGTATGTAACTGACAATTACCAGTCGCTAGGGACTTTCGACTGGTTTTCTGCTTTGTCCATTGATTTTCCTGCTGTTTTCATAGATATATACTTTGTATCGCATGTTGACTATACATTTCGTAAGGTAATAGCTATAGAGGAGGTAGTTACATCGCTAGCTTAGGATGTAATAGAAAAGACAGACAACAGAATATTTCACCACACCACACCACACCACGCCACACAGTTACTGCTGTTTACCCATTCCCCGCATTGGATACGGCTTGTTACATAAAATATGATATCTACCCTGTAATAAGGCAGCTTGATACGAACGATTCGGGGTGTCCAAACAGGGTTTTTTCCCTACTTTCCCCACCAGAATAATAGATATGGACTCAATATTGAAGGGGGGTGTATAATAATCATTAAAAATTCTGGAGTATATATTATTTATTTCTTTGTATTCTTTATATATTGTGCAACTTTTGGGTATGACGGAATGGCTTGGTCCACTGGGCTGATGAGTGGATGGGAGCTTCCGTGGGAGGTATGGTACATAGATATCCTAGAGAGTTGTTGTTGATGAGGGTCATCACTTTCAATCCTGCACAGCGATCTCGTGTCAAAGTAAAAAAGGACATACATAAGAATAATGTGGGGAGAGCCAGGATCGAACCAGCGACCTCGCGGGTACTAGCCGCGGTTCGGCAAATGCGTCTAGGACGTTTCACACTAAACCAAGTCGCCCTTAGCGTGCTTATGTTAGCTCCCACATCTGGCCAAGCAGAAAGCAACTGAAGGGATGTCTATCCAGACAACTTCATCATTCCTGGCAAACCACGCACGATCTAATGCAGCGAATTCCTTTCCCCAGAGCCTAGTAGCCGTCGCGCCAATCAATTGCACACAGAAATTGCATCACTAGATCTGGAAATAAGAAAAAGAGAAGAGCGGGACCGAATAGAAAGTAGAGTTTGATAGAATGTCAACAGTAACAGCGACGGCGCTGCAGAGCTCCAATCCGTGAGTTGACGTCCTGTTACGTGCATAGCTCCTAACGCCTAAGCAATAGCACTCACCCCTCGTGCTCTCTTCTTCTAAAATTCTCTCATTGAAAATTACCAACTAATTCAAGCTTCTTCCCAGGCCTATCCTCCCCCAGGGTTCTCCGCCAAACAACCACCCACCATCCGCCTCTACCCGCTCTCAAACTACACATTCGGCACCAAAGAGACGCAACCGGAAGAAGACCCGTCGGTTCTAGCGCGGCTAAAACGGCTGGAAGAGCACTATGAGAAGTATGGCATGCGACGGACCTGCGAGGGCGTGCTGGTGTGCCATGAACATAACCATCCACACGTACTGATGCTGCAAATTGCCAATGCGTTTTTCAAGTTGTGCGTATATATCCCTAACCATATGCAGATATGTAAGGTGCCTTGGAAATAGCCGATTGATATGCTGATATGCTCTGCAGACCAGGCGACTACCTACACCACGATGACGACGAGGTGGAAGGGTTCAAAACGCGTTTGAACGAGCGCTTAGCTCCTGTTGGCTCACAGTTTAGTGGTGAGGGAGTAAATGACGATTGGGAAATCGGCGACACGCTGGCGCAGTGGTGGCGGCCGAATTTCGAGACGTTCATGTACCCATTCCTCCCCGGCCATGTGACACGGCCAAAGGAGTGCAAGAAGCTATATTTCATCCAGTTGCCGAAGAAGAGTATGTCCTGATATATATATTTATGTTACATATATGTTACATATATGTATAGGTATACGGTACTAATAATAAAACACAGAAGTCCTATCCGTCCCGAAAAACATGAAACTACTTGCTGTACCCCTCTTCGAGCTGTACGATAACACGGCACGGTATGGACCCCAGCTCTCAGCGATCCCGCACCTGCTGTCACGATATAACTTTGAGTTTGTGGATGAGAATGATAATGTGGTTGCGGTGACGCCGGGGGAGCAGCCGGGCCCTGACAGCAGCGGGGGAATGCCGCAGGCGAAGGTGTTATTGAGCGGTGAGGATGGCGCGATGGGAGAAGATAATAAGAATGGCGTGGGGGACCAGGAGGGGGAGATGGGGATGGAAGGTGTTGAGGGGCAGTAATGTATTTTATTATTTAATTTATTTTCATGCCCTTTTTCTTTCTGTCTTTCCTTTAGGCAGTTATGGCGTTGAAAGATTCGGAAAATGATCAACTAAACGCTGCGTTTATTGCATCTATCCTACTGCAATTTTTAGGATTGGATAGCAATGCTGTGTGTTTCATCAATGCTGGATGAATCTTTTTTTTATCTTCTTTTCTCTCTTCGGTTTCGGTTCTCAGTGATTCACGTGGCGTTTTTGCCAGAATCGCTCCTGCTCTTACGAAGTTCGACACTCAGTTTGGTCGTTCAATTCCGCATTTCGAGGTCGATAATCCTTATCACAAAACTTGATATTGGCCCAGTACGTATTCTCATTGATAACCTGTCAAACTCCATCGTCTCAACCCCCAAAGATCTGGCCGAACATACCAATATATATATGATGTAGGTAGGTGAAGGTTTATTGACATACATGAACTCTGTACAATCCTCAGAAATCAATGGCTAGAGTAGATCAATAGTCAAGTTATGAGCCATGCCTCACTGCTTGAGGAATCCCACTAGGGCTTAACCTTCCAGATGTGGGAGGGTGGCAAGCGCAGAATGGTAAATAGCATCCAAGACAATCCATGAATCCTACGGGATTACCAGCAGAGAAAAGGGTATTTCCTCAATCGCAGTATTTCTATTCATACTAGTATAAATATAAAACCTCACCAATGACGTCGGAAACATCCTCAGGGATAGAAGAATGGCAACAGAGACCGCCATTTATCAAGGCCCAGAATGGCAAGGAACCTGGCATGGTATATTGGACCGGGAAATGCCACTGTGGGAGAGTGGCATATCAGATAAACAAAGAGAAGCCGCTTGATGCCAAATACTGCCATTGTACCGGATGTCAGGTTTTGCACGGTTGGTCCCGCGTTTCTTCTCTATCCCCATATTTAGTTGCTCGACCTATCTACTTGGTGAATCCGACAACAAAATTTTATATATATTGAAAGTAGTAGTTGCATACACCTGCAAACGGTTATAATCTCCCTTTTCAGATCCTTTTAACTAACGAATCAGTCTCAGGCGCCCCTTTCCAGTGGGCCGCTATCTTCCATAAATCGGACTTGGCCTTCACTCGCGGCCACCAGTGGCTGGATTTCTACAACCAGTCGGAGAAGCAACAAGCCCATCATCTACCGTGTAAAGTTTCATGCTCCTACTGCCATGCCCCGATCATGGATGAGGGGAGGAATGTCTTGTTGTTGTTTCCAGGTCTGATTGAACCCGAGAGTGGATTGGCGAAGGGGGGAAAGGGGACGGGAACGGTGAGGCAAGCTTTTGAGCCCAGGTATGTATGTGTTTATGCAACGTATTGTTATTCCTGGAGATCGGTTCTCCACTAACTGTTTCGGCGATTTCCGGCATTTTTAGCTGTCATATTTTTTATTCTCAGCGGATGGTCGATATCAGGGATGGCAAGCCGAAATGGGCGGGGATGAATGATTCCAGTGATCTAATTGAGGAGTGACATGAGGGAGTAGTATATATACATTTTGTAGCAGCATGATGTGTAATGCTTCTCAATATTCAATAGTATTGTTTATCGTGGCATTTGGACCTGTGAAGGATATAATTGCATGTTTTGACTAGTATGACGTCCGGGATCCCACTTCCCTCCACTGTCCAAGCTTAGCTTCAAGCAACAAATCAACAACAAAATCAAAGTCTATGCCCCCTCAAACGTCCAGAAACATTTCTTCAACCTCATCTCCATTCCCGTCCCACTTCCTCTTCCTCTCGCTATTCATCCTCGCCTTCTTCCCAAGCCTCTTCATCTCCCTTCTAAAACCCCTCTTCCACATCCCGCCCCTCCACCTGCTCTCCCCATTCCCAACCTCAACCACCGCCACACCAACATCCGCAACCGCTGCCTCCGCACCCACAATGGCCTGGTTCCAACGGACCATCGCCCTGCCCCCGCGCTCCCGCGGCTCCTACTTAATCACCGACCACATCGTCTCCGAACTCCCCGAGCTGCGCACGTACAAGACCGGCCTGCTCAACCTCTTCATCCAGCACACCAGCTGCGCCCTCAGCTTGAACGAGAACTGGGACGAGGACGTGCGAGCCGACATGAGCGATGCGCTGGATCGCATTGCGCCGGAAGATCGCAAGGGGGACTTGTATCGGCATAGTGCGGAGGGGTCGGATGATATGCCGGTTTGTGTTTTATTTCTCCCCCCTCCCTTTCAAGTATATTTACATATATATATGTGTGTATATATATGTATGTATTCGGCCGGGTTTCCAAGACAGTGCCTCGGATTGAAAGTACAGTCAGTATATGGATGATATGTGAATTGATCCGCTAACTCCTGCGAACTGTCGCTTCTCCAGGCGCACATCAAATCTGCACTCATTGGTGCATCTGTCACTATCCCAATCACCGACGGGAGGCTGGCGACAGGCACCTGGCAGGGCATCTGGTATCTAGAATTCCGCGCGAGAAAACACTCGCGCAAGGTTGTGGCGACTATCCAGGGGGAGAAGATGTAGTTTATAATTATTGTTTTTTCTAGTTGGCTATGCTATTTTTTGGGCGGGGAGTTTAAAAGTTTAATCTAGAGTTAGGTACACTGTAGATAGTTATACCTGAGTCTACAATGAGTTGCTCTGAGAGAGGATTGGTGGCTTATATGCATGGAATAGTAAGTCGAGCTACTTCTCCCAGTCGGAAATGCCTGAATACTTTCCGCGACAGCCTTCAACATGGGAGGGCGATTCTCCAGGACATGGTTGGATCTCCCATAGGAGATATATACTGAGGTAGGTCACGCAATATCCGTAGAGAGTGTGTGATTTCATTCATGCCATCACTGGTCTCAGATCAAAAATCATATGTATACAGATAACGGGGCGGTGAAACTGAAGGAACAAAATGCGCGACATGGATTAGTGCAAACTAGCACTGGAACGGGGAGAAAAAAAAAGAAAAGAAAAGAAAAGGCGGCGCATAGCTATTTGGGCTATTTGGAAATACTTGAAAAGACAAAATGAAACAAGAAGAAAACAAGGATCTATTGTAACGCGTTTTTGTTCCTGTGGTCTTGCGGTAGTTCCGCTCTCATTCTATCGTTGCTCGAACCCCTCTGGCGTAATCCGCTGCGACTCATTGACCTCCGCCGGGTGTCCCAGCGGTTCCAAGGGATACGACGTCTGTCCCTGTGCCTCCAGCGCTTTCCGGTTGTGCTCGTTTGCCTGTGTTCAAATCAGTGTTAGATAGTTGATGTTTCTCAAGGCCCAGCGTCAAAGAGCCAACTTTTTTGCTCCGTGGTGGGATACGTACGAATGGAAGCCCGCAGTATTCGCACGGGCAGATCTGGGGTTTGTCTGTGTTGATGAAGATTCGGGGGTGACCCAGGGGACCTCCGCCACCGTCGCATGAGACGACTTTCTCCTTCGTCCATCGCACGGGCTGCTTGTGGATCAATTCGATGGCTGCGTACGGTCGGGGCTGTTTGGAAGAGATGTTAGTTGGGTGTTTCCATCACATTCCATTCCCGGTTCCCAGTGCTTTAACATGTTAATGCCATGTCAACGATAGAAGTCGCTTAGCCGCGTATCCATTGTGTGTTCGGTAGAGATGTCATCCCAACGCATAACTTGAAAGACACATCCAGCAGGCGGCCAGCTACCCGGCGGAAGAAAAGGGACGACCTAGGTCAAAACGAAAACGCCCTCACCTGGTACTCCATAATAGTCTGCTCGAACCGCGGTCCAGTCATGGCCATCTCCCGCGGCTGCTGGCTCTTTGCCCAGATGGCGGTGCGGTTGGGCGCCTGCTTGGCCAGCTCGCGCTGTGCGTGCTCAACCGATTCTTGCAGGGGGAGGTCCTGGGCGCCCATGGCATCTGTAGGCGTGGCATTGGTCACGGAGATTGGGCTGAACTTCCTGTGCGGATTGGGGTCGTTGGTTGGCACGGCGTTCTCAGATGGTTCGGATGGGCGTGGTGCGGTGGTTGTGAAGGCGCGGGGGAGGAGGCGGGAAGGGGATGAGCGGGCCGCGAGGCAGAGACGGGACCGTGTGGAAGCTAGCATTGTGGGTGTATCTAGTCTGTTGTTGGGGGTGAGGATGGCGATGTAGAGCGTTTGGTGGGTTGTACAGTAGTCGAGTACATTTACTGACGGTGGTGGAAGTTGATGTGGTTGAAGCAGTCAGCGGCCAATCGGCTGCGTTCCTTAGCCTGGCCAACCATCCACGAAAAAAAGAGATAACTACGGCATCCAGATGCTGGCGTATATTTACAACTGTTGCACCACACACATATTGCTGCGAAGTTCTGGCGGGCGAGAAATGGTCGCATACTTCCGGAGAACGCAAAATTATCCCTTCCACTCGTAGTTTTGAAATTCCTTCCCATCAAACCACCATCACTGACGTACCGCCGTATCCCACTATCCACCACCATGTCGACCTCAAAATCCCCCAAAACAATGTCCTCGCGGCTGCTGACCATGAAGGTATAATCTCCATACATACGTCCTTCAAAATTGCTAGTACTCCTAAAACTAACCGCATCCAGTTCATGCAACGCGCCGCCGTCGCCGCCGCCGCCGCCTCCCCAACTCCCAACACAACCACAGCATCGACCCCTTCACAACCCTTCAATCCCACAAACACCTCCACACCGCTGCCCAAGCGCCAAAAGTTTTCCGCACCGTCCACATCCGCACCTTCCACGCCCGCGACGAGTACTAGTACTAGTACTAGCAATGCAGATCTCCAAGCCATATCCGCCGCGATCAGAGCGGAGGAAGAGAAACGGGCCGCCGCCATTGCGAGACAGGCCGCCGAGGCTGGCGAGCAGGAATGGGTCATCGAGTATCCGCCGGGGACGTTCCCGGAAGCCCCTCCCCAGCCAGCGATGGATGCGGCGCGTGCGTACGGGTTTGGGGACGCAAGGGACGAGGAGGTGGTGGGCCGGCAGAGTTTTGGCGGCTTTAGGAGGAGAGGGGGTGGAGTGGTGGTGTGTTTTACTTTTTTTTTTTTTTTTCCCTTCTTTCCGTTAATTCATTCATTCATTTTTTTCTGGCAAACTTTTCTCGTTCTAACCATATTTCTACGGCCGGGGAATAAAATAACCAGCCAACGACGCCAGCAACTCGCTCGCACGACGCGGACACAGACGCAGACGTCAACAGAGGCGATGAAGACAACGAGAGCAATGACGACGATGACGACGATGACGATAACTTCAACCGCCATTATCACCACAACCACCAGCACGGCACCAGAACCTCCGACCCCTCCGCCCTCCTAAACGCCGCAAAGCACAACGCCAACGTCAACACCAACAGGCACAAAAACAAAAACGCGCCCAACAGCAACCACAGCAACAAAAAGCGCAAATCCGGTGGCGGCGGCGACGGGGTCGTCGATCTCAGCCGGCTGACGAGTATATCCGGCGGCGTCGACAGGGGGGAGCAGCAGCGGCGGCAGCAGCAGCCGCACAAGCGGGCGCAGAACCAGCAGGGAGGAGGCGGAAGGGGAAGGGGGAAGGGGAGGTGAAATGAGTTGCGTTTCTTGTGGTTCGCGGGGGAGGGGGGTGGTGTCGTTCTGTTCGTTAATGCTGTCTGTGCGTTTCGTTCGGCACTCAGGGTGCGGCGTTGGATGTTGGATGGATGGGGTATCCGGTATTTGTGGGATATGGCGTGGCGTTGGCTTGAGTTTTTTTTTTTTTTTTTTTTTTGTCTTGTGTAGGGTAGGAGTAGGATGGACTAGTAACTGTATTGTCCTATGTCTGCTACGAGTTTTGCAAAAGAGTCATAAAAACCGTACATGTGGGCAATCAATCAATATACCCAATATTCACACAATAGCTTACACAAAGACCCCAAGCCCAATGTGTATATATATATACACAATATTATCCTGCGAGGAAACAGCAATGCACTAATACATAAATAACAATACACCACAGTCTAAAAGGTACACAAGGAATAATGTCACAGCTTCGCCCGCCGCACCCGCTCCGCTTCCTCCCACCTCCGCCTCCCGCGATAATTCACCGCCAAATTCCACGCCGCAACCGCCACCCCCAGCGGCGGCACCAGCAGCAGCACCCACGCCCACCATCGCGGACTCGTCGCAGCAACCGTGCGCATAGCCTCGCGCACCGCCGCCTCCAACGCCGCGCGGTCCCCATCATTCCACACCACCAGGCCCCCCCGCGCCTCCGCCCGCGCCACCTTCCCCCGCACATCGCCCTGGCTCTTCACGCGGTCCTCCGCATCCTCCGCGCTCAGGTGCGTGTCGCGCGCGCGCAGCCGCGCCACCTGCACTGCGGCGTCGGACACGCCCACCACGACGACGGTGCCGCACAGCGCATCCAGCCCGCTCTCGAAGAGCAGCGGCACGTCCAGCACCACGGCCCAGTGGCCGCGGAGGTAGTGGCGGAGCAGCGCGCGGTAGATCTCCCAGCGAACGGCCGGGTGGACGATGCGGTTGAGCACGGCGCGGTCGCGCTTGCGCTCCGCGGTGTCACCGAAGACGCGCCGGCCAAGCACGGGGCGGTTCAAGGGGCGGCCGTGGGCTTGGGTTGTTGCTTTTGGCTTGTGTTTGTCATCTGGGTCGTCGGGGTCGTCTGGGAGGAGGAGGTCGGGGGTTGTGGGGCCGAAGTAATCGACTATGGCGCGGTAGCCAGGGGTGCCGGGCTCGACGACCTTGCGGGCGAGGAGGTCAGCGTCGATTATGGGGAGGTTGTAGGGCGGGGCGGAGAGGAGGGCGGAGACGGTGGATTTGCCGGTGGCGATGGAGCCGGTTAGGCCGATGAGGAGCATTGTGGGGGGAATGTAAATTTTAAGGAATTGAGTTGGCTTATGTTGGGGAGAGGAAGTTGTTGGCTCTTTCCGGTAGTTATTTCAAGCGGTGGATGGCGTTCAATTGGAGGGGGTTTATCCGATTTGAGGATCGTCAACGGCACACCCACACACTCATGTATATGTATATCCTGGTCCTCCCAAGCCAGACGCCGTCGTTATTCGCTTCACCCCTACCACCGCAAAGCCTAGCAACGATGAGCAATCAACCGAACCGAAAGCCACCACCACGGCCACAGCCACAGCCACGGCATCTTCATCTGACAGAATTGCCAACGGCACCACCCCCGTTGAGATGCGCAGATATACTAGTACGTACCACAAGCGGGCCCCGGAATGAAGATACCCAGCAACCGACCAGACCGTCTCGAGCGGGGAGGTGAGGGGATGGAGAGAGCGGCGGGGACAAAGACAGAGACATAGACAGAGATAGAGATGCGTGGATACCGCTATCGCGCTTCGAAGGGGCTGGGGAGGTGTCCCGGAGAGGACTGGGTTGGGTTGGGTTGAGTTGGGTCGTAGGTGAGGATGGAGATGGAGAAGTAACTGACGACAAGCCGAGGGATAACTAACCCGCGCCGGCATGACGTGATCGGCTGCTGCTTAGTTACATAGAAACAACAAACACTCCTCTCTGCCTTTTGGCTTCCACCATTGACGGACATATGATGTGTCTGTCAATTAATTAATATACATGCTGGTAACTTTGTGTTATCTGAATCCATTTTCACCTTCTACAATTTTCCTCTTCTACAATTTCTTCTGCGTCCATAGCACTATCCAGAACACCCAAAATGGCTAGTTAGGCTGCCCCTATAAACCTCCCCCCACCAAAAAAAAAAAATCAAGCATCTGACGGCACTGGAGCTGAAACACCCAAGGAGGCCTATACCCTGATGGAAAGTGTAACTAATCTCGCGACGCAGCGTAGCACTGGAGCACTGCTGAAATAGGTGTGGTCACGTGGCATTCTAGCTTTGCATTAGGGGTAGGGATATGCCCAACATATAATTGTATCGCCGTAGGTGGCTGACATCGCACAAAAGACAACCAACGCAGCTGGAAAAATTGAATATCCCTGTCTAGTTACCGCTCTCAACGCAACATCATCATCCGTCGTCCATGCATATATTTAAAAGTATATAGTATACAGATACTTCCATTGGAAACCGCGTAGCAGCGGCGGAGGAGTACGGGGGGAAGAAAGGCAGGAAGGCAGGCTGGCTGAGGCTAGGCGTTCAATATTAACAGCACGTTGCTGGAGCTGTTGAGTTAAACGGGCCAGCATGGGATTGACTGATTTGTGTTCATGCATGCACGAGCCACGACTGGATGGAGATGGAGATGGAGATGAAGATGAAGATGGAGAGCTGATGGGAAACAGCCACGAAGGCATAAATGTGAGTTTGTTGATTCTTTTTGCAATTCCAACCACCCCTTGTAGCCAGGAACGCCAGGACGCCGGGAACGCCAGGACAACAGACGTAGAGGAACATCGGCTTACCGAGAAGTACATTTACTCCCTTTCTACCCGGAAAAAAAAAAGAAAAGAAAAGAAAAGAAAAACCAAATGCAAAAAACAAAACAAAAACAAAAACCACCAGATGAAATCTATATATCCTATCCATCTATCCATTCCCGGGTTATCCAGTCGCGGGCTGCTGTGCTCGCTGCCGCTCCTGCTGTGGCTGTTGCTGCGGCTGTTGCTGCGGCTGCGGCTGGTGCGGCCTCACTGGCTGCTGCAAATGCTTTGGGGGCTCTCGCGCGGGGATCGGATCACCAAGATGCCGCGGCTTCCCATCCCAGCCAAAATCGGGCCAGCCGCGCGGCAGGGAGGCGAACGGGGGCATGGTGTAGCGGCTCTCGCAGGTGCCTATGGTCCTGCACGAAAGGTTGCAGTATCCGTACTGCTTGCAGTAGCACTCACTCGCAGTGGGGCAGTGGACAGGGTCGCGGCCGAAGATCACTATTATAGATAAAAAGTGTATTCAGTCAGCGGTATATACATATATATGTATGTATGTATATGTATATATTTTCTTGAAAGCAAAGATAATACAACAACGCACTATGCCACGAATACTCGAAGATCCGCCCGCTCAGCTCGTCCGGCAGCGGGGTGCTGAGGAGCCAGCGGCGGAAATGCTCGTACTCAGACCTCGGGCGCTTGCGCACCTGAGCGGCAGTGACGGCGAACTGGGCGCAGCAGGACACGCCGACCTCCCTGGGCACGGGGGAGCCTGGGAACAGGGCCTCGAAGCCGGCCTTGAAGGCAGCGCCGGCGTGCACGTCCGCGCGGTGGATGTCGGTGAAGGGGCGGATCTCGACGGGGCAGCCAAGCAGCCAGACGCAGCGGAGGTTGAGGTAGCCCTGCTGGGCCAGGAAGGGCAGCCGGAGGTTCCTGAGGAGGGGGACGTTGTCGTAGAGCGGGTCGTCGTTGTGCCACTGGTAGCGTTGGGGGTGGATGAAGACTATGTGGGCGGGGAGGCGGTCGTAGTGGTCGATGATGTAGCTTGGAGCATTGTCACACTCGTCAGTATTCAGGATTTATAGGGAGATTGGAACTAAACGCCGGGGGGTTTAGGGGGAGGCGGAGAGGGAATTTGTTTCCCCTCCCCCCCCGCGGCAAGGTACTGGATACTACTGCATACGTCAGGTAGACCATGGCCTCCCTGCCCTTGTTACTCGGCACGGTCAAGGGGGCATCGGGGTCGTCGACCACGTACACCTTCCGCCCCCAATCGGGCAGGTACTCGTGCAGCCAGGAGGTGTTGTCGCGGGACATGGCGGCGACGACGAGCTCGCGGTGCGGGCGGGCGGGGTGGTAGTAGCGGAGCGAGGCCAGGAAGGAGGCCAGGCAGTACTTGGCCACGCTGCAGAGGAGACAGAACACGGCCAGATAGGCCAGCAGCACGATGCCGGAGATGGCGGGGGGCTTGCGCAGCAGACGCGGGGAGCCGGGTCTATAGGCCCGAGAGAGGGCCATGTTGGGGGAGAGTTTTGGGGGAAGGTAAAGGATTGAAGCACAGAGACGAGTAAATGTACAGTACAGTAGTAGTGGTGGGTAGTAGTAATAGGAGGAGGAGGAGAGGAGTAGGAAAAGGGGCGTAGTAACAGCCTCTATCCAGATCTATCCAGATAACAAGGAATGGACTCGCATGGCGGAGTCTGGAGCCAGCGAGATCATCGTGGGAGAGGAAGAGGAAGAGGAAGAGGACGGAGAGAGAGGGAGGAGATTGAGGGATGCTGTTGGTACAGTAACAAACAACAGGAGATGAAGTACGGATTGACGGATCTACCTTGGAGTCTGGGAGTAATCTGCGGGATATTGGAGCACCAAACGAACATCCAACCACCCGCTCATAGTCCGCACACACACCGTCCGCACACGGAATACACACACACACACACACACACACACACACACACACACACAGATCGCCTATGCATTCGTCATCGACCGGGATCCAGGCAGTGGTGCCGCGTCGACCCACGGTTCCGGTGGGGGAAAGGGGTAGGAAAGGGACACCAGCCAGGGATCAGGGATGAGGGACGAAGGAACCTCCTGTGCGCCGTCCAACCAGACATCGCGACCCCATGGTCCAGCATGGTCCAACATGATCCAACATCATCCAACGTGATCCAACACGCAAGAGACGCGCAGGTTGTGGGTCCCAAGTGCGGGAAGACACTGGCAGGGGCAGGCAAGGGCAGGCATGCACTATCCGCCGATCAGGCCGATCAGGTTTCAAGGTCTGGTTGTCTGGTTACTGGCAAACCGGGTTGGGATGTGTTGTGTTTCTCTGCGGACTCCGTGTCGGGACTAGGCAGCGGGGATCGCGGGTTGGTGGGTAGATAGATGCATCGATGGATAGACATGCTTCCGGTGGTTGTTGTTGTGGTTGTTAACTAACTATCGTTGAGGGAAAAGAGATGATACATATACTCGTGAGCCAAGGGCGGCCAAGGCCCTAGGTTCGCCCGCGACGGCGGATGGGCGACGGTGCTAGAGCCAGCCACCAGATGCTTATCTTGTTTTGCGTTGGCGAGAGAAGCAGGGGGGGGGGAGGGTACAAACCAGCAGCAGCCAATCGTGTTGCTGGATGGCTGCACGGAGAGCGATGTCGCTGATGGTGCATCTCCTCCGTACCTGGTAATAGTCATATTTCGTGAAACTAACTAGTGGTTATATGAAGGTGGATTTGCCTGTGTTCAAACACATGTTCCTATGGTGTTCAGCCAAGGCCTCTGAATAACCCATACATATTCTATACAGTGAGCTATTTTCTTTGATTATATAAAAGAGATAACTTTTCTGTAATATTATATATGATGACTGTATCAGCTTCTCTCTGAATATATATTTAATAATTATTATCTCACTACTGTATTCTTCTTTCTCTGCTCTTGTATTGATTTCTATTTTTAACTATTTTTATTTTTATTCATCTATTTTGAAATCCTTGCATCTCTATATAAATAAAAAAGACTGATAATAATCTCTACTGTTAATACTGCTGTTGAAGCAGCTACTGTATAAAAACAACTACAGTATAATTTTATTATAGAAATAACAGTACAGAGAGAGAATGTACTGAGAATCAGTAAATAAAATAAATTAAAAAATATATAGATAATATATATAGAGAAGCAGAATGAATAAATAATAATATATAGATTTATTTTATTTCTATTTTTTTTTATTTCTATATATAAAGAGAGATAGAATTTAATAGACTAACTTCTCACTGCTACTCAATCTTCATTATTTATATAATAAAAATAATATAATAAAAAAAAGTTTTTAAATAATTAGATTATCTCTGAGTAGAAGACAATCTGATTTTTTAATAAAAGAATTCTCAATTATTTACTCAGAGAAAATTATTTTAAAAGAAAATATATAAATACTGAGAAAGAAAAGATTATATAGATAATAAAAAAGAGTCTAATTAAATAGTATTAAATAATTTTTATTAATCTATATTATATACAGTAAAGTAGATAGAAGAATTTTTATTTTTATTTAATTAATCAGATTTTAAATAATATATTAAAAACTTACAGATCTATAAAATATATATAGAAATATATAGAATTTATAGATAGAGATATAGATATTCTAATAAACAGCTATACTGAGCTGAATATAATAAATTTTATATATCAGTATTAAAAAAAATAATAAAAAGATGAAAAATATATAATTAAGTTTTTTCTTTATACAACAGCTGATTTTTTTATAAATTATTATATACTATTAAAAGAGTAGTTCAGATAGAAAATATAATTAACTGATTTATTTATAATTAAATTATTAAATAAAAAATTAATACTCTACTGATCTTTTATTTAGATTATAAATAATAATAAAATAAATCAGAACAATAGATTTAAATATTCAATTATTATACAGTATAAAAATTATATTCTTTATTTAATATTATAGATTGTATTCTATTTATTCTATAGATAAAATATTATACAAAAGTCTTTATTTCAGTTTCACTATTATCAGCTCTGATATAATATTTATTTATTTAAAAATAAAAATTTATATAAACAGATCTTCTACAGAATTTATTTTAAATAAATAAATAAGTTTTTTATATATATAAATATATCAGAGATAATAAAAAAGATTTATATCAGATAATTTATAGATATATAAAAGATAGAATTTAATAAAATAAATAAAAACAGTATCTGTAGAACTGAGTAATAAAATAATAATTTTTTAATCAACTACTATTTCAGTCAGATCAATCAGAAGTTTATATAAAGAATTATAAAATTCAATTCTAGTTTATTAAATAATTACTATTTTTTATAAACTACAGTTACTTTATTAAAGCTATTGAAAAAATCTCTCTGATTATAAATAAATAAATAATTTATCTAATTTTATTCTGAAAATAGATTTTTTTATATTATTTTTTCTAAAATCTCTGATATAAATCTGAAGCAGTTTAATAATAAAAATTTATTTAATTTAAATAATTTTACAGCTCAGAGATTTTTACAGCTGTTAAATTATTTTTATATAATAATACTATAGAACTCTACTCTTCTTCAGAGAGAATTTTCAATTTATTTATTATAAATTAATTTAGTATTTCAGTATACAGAATATAAATAATTTATAGATATTATATAAACTACAGAGTTAGTTTTTATTTTTTTATAGAAGATAATATTTCAACAGTTAATATTATAAATTTCTGAAAGTCTAAGTACTGTACAGAGATAAATCAATATAATAATAGATTAGATAAAAATCAGAGATATATAAATAAAGAAAAAAATTAATAGAATTCAGTATAAAATTAATATAATAACAACTGAATTCTAAATTTTTCAGTCTATCTCTATTTCTGTTTATATACAGAAAAATATTATTAAAATTCTCTTTATCTCTGTATTTATATTTTTATTTTTTTTTTTATTAACTGTTACTGCTACTATCACTACTTCTGCTATAATATTATCAATTAAAAATAATATTTAAATATATCAACTTTTTTATATAATTCAATCAATTAATAATTTCTGAAAGAAATGAGAATAGAAATTGAATAAATAATTCTCTATATAATATCTAAAGTTATTATACA